AGCTCTGTGTGACTCCAAGCAGTGTCTTCCCCAGCATCAGGACAGTCCCTGGATCTCAAGGGAGCCCCTGCCATACTCACCCCCAGGCATAACACCCTCTGTATCTCCTTCCTAGACACTCCTGCCTCTCCTGCAGCTAGGCTGTCCCCTCCAGAGCCTAGCAGGGGTGAGGTAAGCCTGCTACCAGCACCACAGCCTTTTGCTCCCCCAGACCAGCTTGGCAAGTGCCTGTCTTTGTGCATCCCTTCGTGCAAAGCACACCAACTGACAAGGACTTGAGATGCTCAGCACTTGGGTATAATGAACTGTATGTCAGCAGTGGTTGTTTACTAAAGGGCTGTGACAAGAATATAGTAGTGCCTCAGTTCACAAATTTAATTCTTTCCACAATTCTGGTCGCAGAATCTGTTCCACAATTCTGGTTGCAACTGAATTGCAAGCATATATACAACCAGAAGAATCACGGAATTAAGTTCGTGAACTGAGGTGCCACTGTACCTCGCAATTTGCTAGTGCAAGGAACCTGTCTGCCCCATCCTAGCTGTATTCCCCAAGCCTGGAAGAGTAGACACCCAATAAATATTTGCTGAATGAATAAACCCCTGGCTTTCCTTATGTGTGGCTCCACTCCCTTCTCTCCCACTGTAGACTACAAATCAGAGTGCATGTAGGAGAAAAATGGCATTATCAAAGGGACATCAATGAATCATTGAAAGATCCACCCTTTATTACTTGCCATAAATTACTGGCCATGTACCTCAAGAATGATCATCACATAGGAGGTGGCAGAGATATCAGTTGAGATCAGCTATTTTAGACAAAGCTAAGAAATATAAAGCATTTTCTTAATTATGTTATTTTCCAGAAGGTGAAGGGGACAGTAAGTTCAGAAAGAACTAATAACTGAATCACTCCACACTTCACTTTCCTTTTCATAAAACCCCAGGAGAAATGCTTATTTGAATCAAAACAGGTCAGAAATTCCTTTTCACAGTTTTTTCTCCCCATGCCTATGGGGCCCACTAGTAGTTGTTATTTCCATTCAAAAGCCTTCCTGCTGCACTTATGCTAACTTCAGGGAGGCGCTTGGCCACCACCTGAGTGTGACAACATCCACCCCCATAAAACATCTATCTTATTTTGTTTTGGTCATTTGTGTCTATTTTAGATAAAATACTCTTGCCAGTTTTATTCTTGTTTACATGAGGCATTCCTAAATAACAATCATATGATGAAATACATCCAAAAATGAAAAGTCCTAATAAAAGTTTCAGTCTTGGTATGAAGAGAGAACCAAATAAATCTGAGAAAGCCAGACCAGAAGCCAGAAAGCCACACAGACTACCACACACTCCAAACAAGGCTAAAGTTAGTGAAGGAAAATACAGCAATCCCCAGCCAGTGACATCAAAACCCTTAACAGCCTACAGAAAGAGCCACTCTGTCCACACAATCACCTCTGAGCTCTTCACCCACATGCAGAGGATGGCAAAGATTCTTAGTTTTTGAAGAGTTCAAAGATCTTTTAGTCTATAAAGGATACTAGTGTTTGACATATTTGGGCCCAAATGGCAAAGTGTCAGGGTGTATTTTAAGGCAAAGGGAAAAGCAATCATGGCAAAATCCCAAGGGCACAACCGAAAAAGCATAGAGAAACTGGAAGCTGCTTTCAAAATGAATAAATAAAGACCACAGCTCCTGAGCAGTAGTCCTTTCTGTCTTCCTGGACAGGGTGGCTGCAGTTTCCAAGGAAAACAAGGCAGGTACCTGCCCCTTCTGCAGCACTCTATCAGTTTCCACGAAGATTTTTCATCTTTCCGTCATATTTGGAAATCTTCATTCCTAGAGGCTCTGAAACTCTGGGCCTAGGAGCCCTCTGGTCATCTGGTGAGGCCTCCTGAACCTGATCAGAGAAATGTTTCCAACATATAATATATAAAAGTTTAGCAGTGACTAAGTTATATGTACTTATCAAACTAGTTCTAAATTGTGAAATAATGATACACCCAACTTTGTGGATTCCTTGAAATCCACCCATAGGCCCTAGCTTAAGTGCCCTTGGTTGACAGAGGCAACAAAAATACATTTTGTGAGGCATCAAATGAAAAAGCCTTACAAAATGCACTGTCCATTCAACTGTGACTCGAGGAGAACTGAGAGAGTGAGCATTATTTTTTCAAAACCCATGAAGGGCCATTAGTCAGCAGGAGAGCTGCCGGCTCCAAGACAACTTCAGCAAGGGCACCAGAGGAGGTGTGGGCAGCGCCACAGGGTTCAGCCTCCCTGGAGAGGGGGCACAGGGACCCAGCTCAGCCCTGGGGCAACTAGGGACAAAGCTCCTTCCTCCTAGGAGCCCTGTTCCTCTTCCTCAATAAAAGAAAACATGTGCCTAGGTCCTAGGCCCTTCTAGTACTCAATTTTATCTTCAGATTAGTAGTAATTATTTCAGTCTGTTTAGCTCAACTTCAAAGTATCACTGCCTTTCTGAAACACGGAATAGCAAGTTTTACCCAACTGGAATGTCCTCAAGTACAACCTAACACCAATGAGTCATTATGATTGTTCAGAGCCTGTTCAGTGCACAGCTCCTCCATAAGAAGCAATCAGAGCATTGGTCTTTTCTGCCTTAAGACACCAGATGCAAGCACATTTGAATTCTAACGCCATCACTTTAAGAATATCCACGATCAAGCAATGTCAAGCTACTTAGAATCCGTAACTTAATTATACATTTCTCATATTTGACCCAATGAACATAATAAAGAGTGTAGGCAAGGGTTCCTGATTACTACCTAACCCAACTAACTGTACTTTTTTTTTTTTTTACCACTAAAGAAAGAGAAGAAAAAACTAAGCCAGAATCAGGAAGCCAGTCAACAAGGCAGGACATAAACCAGGTCCCTCAACTCAACTGCAATCACACCCTCCTCTGACTCCACTGAACTGCCTCTCAAATCCTGAGCCACTTCCTCAATTTTAAAATGTTATTAAATTTGAAGTTAAAAGCACGTTTAAAATTAAAATTAAGAACTAATGATTAGTCCAGTCTTTTTTCTTTACCCTCAATTATTAAGGGGCATAACACAGAGACTTGTGGCTATGATACATTAACTGGCTGGAATTGAGAAATAATTTAAATTCCAATAATCTGTCACAAAGTGACAGACCCACTAAAATCCTAACCACGGGCCATTCTCCTAATACTGTGCAACACATGAAAAAATGCAGAAATATTTGTACGTGGATACAAACATCCATCAACTTTTCAGTCTATTTTGCAGAATTTCCTAATAACATTTTACTATGAAACACAGAAGACAGCAAAAAAGACAGTCACACAGCAGTTAAAACAAACAAACCATGTATTTTTCAAGTAAGCAAAAGATTCTATCAATATCCAACACTGGGCATTTTTTCAACCTCAAGAAAAATTGTATTAAGAAGAAAATGTTCTACACGGCATCAATTTACTACTATTTACCTAGGATCAGACAGCAAAGTTAATGGTTCTATTTGAATGTTATTGTTGCTTTAAGAGAGAAGGCACTGTCTCAAGTTGAAGGCTGCAATATGATCCCAGTAGGGCCTCTATAATTTACCTACCTATTCACCATTTCACCTGCACTCTTCAACAGGTCCAATAATGCTAAATAGTCAGACACCTACTCTCAAAAAAAAAATCACAATTTAAGTATTCAAAAGTCAGACTGGCATATTCTATTTACGCTATACTTCCTGGGAGACCTTCCCTGACCTAGTTGAAGAAAGGAAGACCCACCTACAGTTGTCGGACTTAACCAACGTCTGTGGAGAGCTCAGGAACGCCTGATATTGTATTTATTATTCATTTATGCATGGGTTTCTTTCTGTTTATATCTGCCATTCCACACTAAACCCAAAAGTCCTGGTTCACTGCCAAATCCTCAGTGCCCAAACCAAGCTGGCACATAGTAGGTGGCAATCAAGGCACCTACTTGGCACCTTTTGGTGCCTCCTGGAAAAGCATTCCCCGTGAGGCATGTGCTACCAGCAATCTGTTTACACAGCCCAGCACACCAGGACAGTGCAGGGCTAAGTCCTTCTCCTGACTTTGGAATGCCCTGCACAAACATCTCAACGACTGTCTCAAAAGGAAGTAGTGAAATAAGTTAAGCTTCCGTGCCAAGTTCACCCTGTTAAACACACTTTGAAGCTGGCCACACAAACAAAACCAAACTCCACAAAATTAGGCTGGGCTGCAGTTATGTGACACAAGACTACACTGTGGCTTTCGTCCCTGCCATTCCCCTCTTTCCAGCCGGCACAGACGCGGTCTTTCCCGTGCAATTCCCACGGAGGTGAGAAAAACCGCTCATCTGCAGATGGCTTCAAGCCCCATCCCTCCAGCAACACCACCAGGAAACAAGCGTGCAGTTCCACGCTTCTTTCAAACTCTTCAAAAGGGTTCTAAGCGGGCACTCTCGTGGGCCCTCAGAACGCGTTTCTCCAAGTTCGTCGGGCGGACGCGCCTAGCCCACCCACGCGGGACAAAGGCCGCGCCGAGAGGGACAGAACCAGCCCAAGCTCTGATCACTGCGCTTCCCGGCTTCTCGCACCCCCACCCCTCGCCCCGCGGAGCGCCCCCGGGTTATTAGGGGAACAATGGGGACATCACCAGGAGCTCGGAAGCGGGTGAGGTCGAAAGGCGCCCTTCAGCAAGACTGGATAATTACGGTCTTCAACCCGGTTTTCTGCGGGCAGCGGGCGCGGGAGGCGGCGTCTGCGGGTGGGAAGGGGGGACCCAGGGTGGGGGTGGGGGATCGCAGGCCTGGGGTGTCGAGGACCCGGAAGAGGGGCAAGTCAGGAGATCAGGCACCCGGGTGGGCGGGAGGCCCGGGAGTTCGGGGTGCGGTCGCTCCGGGCAGTGGCCGCGGGGGGAGACGGGGCCCCGGCCCGCAAGCAGCCCGCCCCCCGCGCGCCCGGGAAGACGCGGTCCCGAGGGCCCGGCCGGCCGCACTCACCCCAGCACCACCAGCTCCCCGTACTTGGCCGGCTCCTTGCCGGGGGCGCAGGGCTCCTCCGGGCCGGGGGAGAACATGGGGCCCCGCTCGGCCGCCGCCGCCGCGCTCCCCGACGAGCCCGCACCGCCGCTACCTTCCCATCCCGGGAACGGGGGTAGCGCGCCGGGCACGGGCACGGCGGCCAGGGGCGCGCGGGGCGGCCAGTCCCGGGGCTGCTCCGCCGTGGCTGCGCGCGGCCGCCGGGCCGAGGGCGCGGGCGGAGTGGCGGGCGGAGGGAGGCGGAGAGGCGGAGAGGCGGAGAGGCGGAGAGGCGGGGGGGGAGCCGTTGGCCCGCCCGCCCGCGCGTGTTATGTAAACACGGAGTAGGCGCGGGCCCCTTAAAGGCGCAGCGCCGCGCCAGCCGCGCTCCAGTCCAAAAGTTAGCGCGCGGGTCCCCGCCGCCCCACCCGCGGCTGCTCGTGGCCAGCTCTCTCCCCAGCTGGAGGCGGGCCGAGTGGACACGGGAGCCGGGCCAGGGCGGGCCGTGCTGCTTCCTGGCTCAGTGCCTCGGACTGGTAAAGTGGGTGGCGGGGACGCCAGAGCCCTGCTCTGTCCTCGCGCGCCTCCTTTCAGTCCCCACGGAATTTAAGAGGAAATTACCTGGGAGGGCTTTTCAGTGAGTATAAAGGTTCCTTTCTTACCACGGCTTAAGCAATGCTCTGTTTGCTCTGTATACTTAAAAAAAAAAAAGGTTACTACGGTGGCTTTAAAAATTTGCAGACTGCGCCAGTTTTACTGACTCCTGTTTTTCATCACGCGCAATTGTTTTAACATTGTTAAGCACTCATAACATGCTAAAAACTCTACACGTTATTGCTGGTCACTGCTGGTGAGACTGTTAAATATTTAAAGAAATACTGCAAAAGCTACCCGTATTGTAAGCAGCGACTGATTGGCTGTGACCCTAAGTAAAAGGCTAAAAAAAGAAATAATTGCATCTGTAACCTCCCATTGTGTGTGCAACCTTCCTGTAACCCTCTGACAGGTTATTACTGTACTGACGCGTTGCTCCCGGTCATTTTACTGCAGTTCGTGCATGATTTTTTTTTTAATTGAAGCTTTAGAAAAAAGTTATTCCAAAGTAACTGAAGCTACACTATTGCTGAGCCAAAAATAAATTTTATTAAACTTATCTCAGCTAATCGTAGGAATTCTATACTTCAATTGAATATTTTACAGTCTCTGCATATTTTACATAGCCCCTATAGTTTTGTGTTAGAAAAAGTTTGTTATAGTTTTAACCAACAACCCTTCACTGAAGGGTTGAGTTCTTTCTCCCCACATCAGGGTTGGTGCGGCTGTCTCTTCTTGGTTAATGTTGTCGCCCTGCAGATTGTACCTCTCAGAGACCGCACCAAATCATGTTGCAGTTTGTGCGGACCCGTTATTAAGGCACCCGCTGTTGCGGTCCTAACTTCCCAAGGTCTATTATGCTGCTACTACTGATCTCCAGGTCCAGTTACCGGTATCTAGAATTCTCTCTTGGCATGCTGTGCATTTGTGCATTGCATGACACTGTTCTGCCTCGTTTCTTCCTTGCTGTGCTCTGCATCTGTGGCTAAGGAGATGAAAACAAATATTTATTAACCTCCTACAGAGCTCCAAACAGTGGACTGAGACTTTTCCAGGGGATGTCCCAGTCTTCCTGGAAAGCTGTCTGTCCAGGGGACCAGGACTCCCAGAGGGGCATCTTTGCACACAGATCCAGGAGTGTCTTTGAGCATGTTTATAGTGCTCACTCAGGTCTGTCTTTATCAGTTACTTACAGGTAGTGTTGCTTTGATGAGTTTTTGTATCAATGGAGGCTTTTGATCCCAGGCAGCTCTGGGCTTGTAAGTAGATCGTTCTGTCAGTCACTGTGAACCCAGAAAGCTTCCGACTGGTAAGCGTGATTGTATTGATTAGGGTCAGGAATATGTGCGGGCATCAGGCATGGAAATGTTGATGAGTAATGAACTGAGTGACAATTGTGGACTTTGGGGGTTTGTGCCATGTAATTGGGGTGCTAGCCATTCATCTCTAGCTGATTGTTGCCATGAGACAGTGACAGCTCACTTCTTAGACTTAATCATTTTGAAAAGCCCCAGTTTGCGGTTTGCCACATTTCCCAATTTTGAACTTTCATCAACTCATTCGAGCTTTTTTTTTTCTGTAAACAGCTAGTGGGTCCACCAAACCATGTCTGTTTTCAAGATGGTACCCAAGGTGCCCAGATTTGCTTTTTCTGATTTCAAGAAAACTGATAAAGAATACTTCCCATGTGGGAAATAAGGTGGAATGGTGGAAGTCAGTTGATTTTCTCAGAGTTGTTGGCTTGTCATCCTAAAGAAGCCAGCCTAGATCTACAGTATAAGCCATCCCTTGTCAGACTTAGCTGCTCACAGCCTAACCAATTAGAACATGACCCCACCCCAGCATCTCACCTAATATCAGGAATCTGACTGTAGCGTGAGTTTATCCTCTCTTGAATGTAATTGTTTTAGGTAGTAGCTCCAGGTCAGTGGAACAATCTGGCTGTGCCATCTGCTAATCCACTGACAGCCAGGGTGGGTTTGGCTGTCCTTGCTGCCAGGATAGACCTTCAGTACCCTTCCTCCTGGCCATGCTCTGTGTGTCCCCCCAGACTGCTCCCCCAAGAGTGTGACCTGGAAACTTGATGCTATTCTTGAGCTACCGAAAACCATATGTTTACTATGCAAATAATGTAATGTGGACTCTCTTGATTTCTTTCCCTGACTTGTCAACTTTTTGCTTTAAAATTAAAAACTGTAGTGAAAAAGTTTGTTTCCTTTAACTATCCCATAAATAAATTCAGGCAACTAATTCCCACCATTTCTGGAATGAAGAGTCTAAATTTTAGTCACTCTACATTTTATCTTACATATTTATATTTGCAAAGACTAAAAATTAAGATGATATTTTGAAAAGTACATATATATTTAGACCAACTGATCGGGATATAATATATTTTGGGGAGGAAACTTAAATTACATTTGATTTTTAAACTATATCATTTCGCTGTTTGTTTTCTGTTCAAAATAATAATGAGTTATTTGTCAAAAGCTTGGAAAACATGAAAAAAAGGTTTCTTAAAAACTCTATTTTAAATCACCCATAATCTCTTCATCCACAAATGACACCAATTATCATAAATATTTGTGTACAAGTATTTCCTTCATCTTTTTAATTTTTATTTTTCTTTGACGTAGTGGTGATAATATTGTGTATAATCACCCTTAGGATATTTGTCATCCTGCCTTTGTCACTTGGTATTGTATTGTGAGTAATTTTCTTTTGTCACAGAAACCTTACAAATAGTTTTAGTTTTGATAATTAGTATCAACATTTATTAACCATTCCCCTTTTATGGAACATTTGAAAGATTTTTGATTTTTGCCCTTATAAAAAATAAATATTTTTACATTTGTTATTATTTCATGAAAATAGATTTCTACAAGTAGAATCATTCCATCAAAGCATATAAACATTTTAAAGACCTTTTGATGTGTATTTCCAAAGTGTTTTTCAAAACGGCTTTGCCTGCCAACTTGTACAGTAACTAACAGTAAATGAGAGCCTGCCCATGGGATTCTCACCAGCATATTTCAAATCTTGACTAATTTGACAGGTGATAATTTTTTATTTGGATTTTTGTAATTACTATTGTGAGGTACATTCACTTTTTGAATTGTGGTAAAAACAGAATATGAGATCTATGCTGCTAACAGAGATTTAAATATACACACAGTTTTGTTAATTATAAGCACAGTATTCGCGAACGTCTTTGTTGCGCATGACTGAATCTTTCCACCCACTGAGCAGCAGTTCCCCTCCCTCTGGCCCCTGGCAGCTCCCCTTCTCCTTTCTGCTCAGGTAAGTTGGCCTGTTTCAGATGCCGCATGTAAGTGAGTGCATTACACAATATGTGTCCTTCTAGACTAGCTTGTCTTACTTAATACAATGACCTCAGGATTCATCCGTGTTGTAGTAGGTGACAGAACTTCTGTCTCTTTATGGCTGAATAGTATTCTATTTTCTTTACGCGTTCCTCTTTGAAGGAAATTTAGTTGGCTTTTAAAAATTATGCTGCATGGGGCCGGGGATTTAGCTCAGTGATTCCACCACTTGCCTCGCAAGCACAAGGTCCCAAGTTTGATCCCCGGTTCCCCCCAAAAATAAAAATAATGCTGCAAGGAACATGAGAGTCGACATATCCCTTTGAGATCTTGACTTCAGTACTTTTGTATAAATACTCGAAATGGACATGGCTGGTTCATGTGCGAGTTATGTTCCCATGTTCTGAGGTGCTCAGTACTGTTTTCCACAGCATGGCATTGCTTCACGTGGTGCCAGCAGCGTACACAGGTAGGGGTGAGTTTCGGCACACCCTCACAAACACTGCTTATTATCTATTTTGCTCTGTTTTTTATGGCCATGCTAGTAGAGGGGTGGTGACATCTCACTGTGGTTTGATTTGTGTCTCTAATGACTGGGGTCACTCAGCGTCATCTGTTGGTGATTTGTATAAATGTCTATTCAAGACCTTTGCCCATTTTCAGATTGGGGTTTCAGTGCTTTTTGGTCTATTGTTTGTTCTGCTCTGGAGTTGTAGTCATTCCTTATGTATTTTGGATATTTACCCTTTATTAAGCATATGGCCTTGCAAATCTTTTCCCCAGAAGCTTTTGGTTTGATATATTACCACTTACCTATCATTGTTTTGTTGCCTGTCCTTTTGATGTCATATCCAAGAAATCACTGGCATAATAAATGCAATGGAGAGTGCCTCCTTTGTTTTACTCTCAGGCTTTTACAGTTTGAGGTCTTATATTTAAGTCTTTAGTTTCAGGTTGATTTTTGTAAAGGTTCCAGTTTTGCTCCTTGTTCCATTTATTAAGGAGACTATTGTGTATTCTTGGTACCCTTGTCAAAGATTAGTTTACTGTGTATGCATGATTTATTTCTCTGCTTCCAGACATTTCCAAAATATTCAAGGTTGGGTCATTTGTGAAGAAAAGAGATTTACTTTCCTCAAAGTTCTGGAGGTCCAAGAGTATAACCCCAGCTTCTGCTCAGTTCTGGTAAAGACCTTGTGATGATGGCAGAAGCATGTGCAGGAAGGAGAGATCACATAGCGAGACAGGAACCCAGAGGGTCAGGAGGAGTCAGTCTTGCTCTTTTATAACAACTCACTGTCACGAAAACTCACTCTGTGAGACCAGCGTTAATCTATTCTGAGGCCCACTGGGCCTCACCATACAAAGGTCCCATCCCTGTCAACATTACCATAACAAGGACCCAGCTTCCAACATGGGACCCTTCAGGAAACACACTTAAATCACATCCAGCCATAGTGTACTTGTTAGTTTTGGCCCTTACTCTCTGACATTTGTCTGTCTGTCTGTATGCCCGTACCATACTGTTTTGTTTACTGTAGCTTTGAGGACAGGGAGTGTGATATTTCTATCTTTGTTTATAAGGTGGTTTTGGCTATGCAGGGGCTTTTGTGGTTCCATATGAATTTTTTGATTATTATTTTCTATTTCTGTTTCAAAATGCCATTGATATTTTGATAGACATTGCATTGAATGTGTATTTTGGGCAGTATGGAGGTTT